GCTTAATGTACTGCACCTTGATTGTTTTTTAGTATATCATTTTCAGTTTCAAGTTCTTCAATCGTTTTCTTCATTTCTTCAATCTCAGCCTGCTTTTCATGATCAGCACATTTTTTTGCCTTTAAAATAAAGGTCCCATTATCATCCATATAATCAAAATTTTGTTTATGACTGTTTTTTTTTTCTGTTTTTTTTTTCAGTTTTCGTTGCCTTAGAAAATAACATTAGATTGCACTGTTGTATGAAATACCTTTTTCTTTGAACTTGGTCCGACATAGGTAACACGCGAGTTAATCTGTGAAGAACTGTCTGCACTTGTTAGGTGATTAGTGCAAATGTGGGCACCGGTTTCACTTCCAATCTCGTCAAAAGCATCCAAAAGTCTAGCTGGACATAGTACTTTTGACTCGCTACAATTTGTGTTGCCCTTCAAGGGATAGCAGCAGATCTGACTGTCGCTCCTTTTTTTATTTTGCAAGTGTTTAAAACAAATAATAGTTTCATTACGGAAACAACAAGCTCTAGCTTCTTGTCCACTCACTCTAGTCAATCTGACAGAACAATTGTCAGTCGAGTTGCGCGAACGAGGAGCAAAAACACAGATTTTGTCACCATTCATTTTTATCAACGTAACAATGAATGCAGCTTGTACCGCCTTTGCGTGACAAAAATTTGTGTGGCTTTTTTAAAAAGGCGGGAAACGATGGACGCGCGTGGCATAGTTTTGGCGCCATTTTTTGTTGTGCGAGCGAGCGCTTTCGTAGCGAAACCAACGAATATCAAGACGAATCAAGATCATTTAATGTAAGTTTATTTGTTGAATGTAAAGCTTTACATGTTAATAGCGGAGCTCCCGCGCGGGCCACCATAACTAAGGAAAAATGGTAACCCATGGAGTTGAGTTTTGATCAACCGACACATGAAGCGCAGTTGTCCTTCCGTACGTCCGTCCGTACGTCCGTCCGTGTACATCGCGATTCTGATTGGCTACTTTTGAGAAGGCGGGAAAAGGAAGCGCGCTCGCGTCAATTTTTGAAACAACTTTTTCACCACAGCGACTCCATTCTTGTCTTTAAAATACTTTACTTCTGCGCCAAATGTCGGAAAATCAACGGGTAGBTAAYGGAAAGCGATCTTTATCTGAAGAAGAAAAGACAAGAAGAAGAGAAAGAGAGCGTTGAAGAAGTCTAAGTGACGAACAACCCAGGCTTGAAAGGGAAAACGTGAGAGACGAAACAATGTTTATTAAGACTCAAGCAAATCGAGAAACAAGTGAACGCCAAAGACGACGATTATTGATGGAGAATTTCTCAGAGGAGAACTGACATATTCTCCGACRATACCRTGGAGTTATTAARCAAATGGCGGTATGTTAGATTATATGTGCATGCAAGCGGTTTTGGTGCTCAAACTATACCAATTCTTCTACTTCAAGAACCTTTGGCAGTTTTAATCTGGTTCAAATTTGCTTTTGAATTCGAAAATCTTCACCTGATACACTTCAAAACTTCTCAATTAAATGAGCTTGTTGACAATGAAAACATGTGTGAATTGTGTATGTACGTACATTCTATCCACAGTAACTTAAGGTGGTAAAACTGGGTAAAATGCATCTCATACATAAATTCATTTATGGCCGTCGATTGAAACAATTCTTTAGCAGACTCTTCACTCTCAGGCTTTACAATAAACCAACACTTCTTTGCATTTGGGAAGTACCCAAAGTCGGGACCAATTTCTGTAAGAGTGTTCCACCATTTCTTTATTTCACTAAGAGAGCCTGCTCCACTTGCGTCATCCGCAAACCAACATTGCTTGGTGCTTGAAGTGTGCTGTAGTGCTGTTATTAAAGGCTTTATACTCAAGGCATAGACACCCATAGACAATGGATCCCCTTGGGTTGTTCCTTCTGCTGAAAGAATCTCCTTTCCTCCTGTAATAAATAGTCTAGCAGTATTTCTGTAGGTGTCGATAGCAAATACTGAGATAATAGGACATAATATGCGTATGTTGTGTAGTGCTGTAGCTCTATTGAGTGAGTTAAATGCATTAGTTGCATCGATCAACAGTATTCCATCAGTTTCATCCACTTCAAAAATAGAACGCATTGCATGAACGACCGCTTCTGTTCCTGACTTCTGCCCAGCACAAAGTTGGAGAGTACCACTCGCATGAGCTACATCATCCTTGGCAACACTCATGACACACTTTGCGATAATCCTTCTCAAGACTTCACCTACGCCAATAGGCCTCACAGCACCCTCTCCTTTATCCAGGGGAATCAATCGACTTGACATAAGTGGCTCTATAGTAGTGGGGTCAATATACTGCGTACACATGATCTTGGTCATTTGAGCTAAAGATTCACATAGTCGCTGAGGACTTCTTGAAGGACTTGCATGCTAGTATCCTACGAAAGCCATTAGCATCCACTCCACA